CCTTCACATGCTGCATGAAGTAAACCACGTCCTCTATTATCCATTACATTAACACCTTGAGGATAAATACTGGATAAATGACGGAACACATCAATATGACCATTACTGCAAGCTGTAAAAAATGCAGTAAATCCTTCATTATCAGTAGCTGTAAGGAGATTATGATGAGTAGAACTACCAGTGACTGAGGACAGTAAAGCTTCAGTGGTATCCTTATGACCAGAGGCAGCTGCTAAGTGTAATGGTGCCTGACCTTCATTGTTAGTAATCAATAAATTATTGGGAGATAGTCTAAGACTTGCTTTTAATAATAGTGATACAACCTTCTTTTGTCCTCTTCTGCAAGCAAGATGTAATGGTGTATTACCATCTTCATCTTGTACATTAATAAGTACTGCATTATGCAGATTATTGGATGTGTCACAAGGACCATCTAATAAACACTTTGTCTCCCGTAAACGGACAACACTTATTGTGGGGATACTCTTACTGAGCATATATTCTAATATTTCAGCTTGATCAGCTAGTACAGCATCATGAAGTGCTACACGATTTTGATGATTGGTTGCATTAGGATGACAATAACTATTATCAATGAGAAACTTTAATACATTTAAGTGGCCTTTCTCTGCTGATATATGAATTGCTCCAGACCCTTTACTACTGGTAGCTGATAGATTACACTTCTTTCTAATAAGATATTTAATAACTTCTAACTGATTGCAATATACTGCAATAAGGAATGGGGTATGGCCATGTTTACTGTGAGATATTTCAAGTGATGATGGTAAGTGTTCTATAATGTACTGGACCAAATTTAATCTTCCCTTACTACATGCTATATGAATAGGAACCATTCCAGCATCATTCACAGCACACAAATCTAACTGATGATTCTCTACCAAATGTTTAAGTACAGGAAGAGAGCCACTGTACTGACAGGTAATGTGAAGAACTGTGGAATGATCAGATGTCTTAGCTGCTACATTACACTGAGGAAGACTAGTGAGATAAAGTATAACATCAGGAACATGACCTCCTGCACATGCTCTATGAAGAACTGTACTACCAGTATCAGTAGTAGTGGCATTAACATCACACTGGTACTTATTAATCAGTTTCTGTAGACAATGTAGCCTACCTTTATAAGCAGCTTCATGAGCTAGTGTGTACTTGTTATTGTTAGTGTGATTAGTAATATCCACACTATACTCCTGACTGTACCATTCCAGTATATGAGTGTGACCGCTCCCTGCTGCTGCATGTAATGCTGTGAAACCATATTCATCAGTAGCTAAAGGCTCAAGCTTATACTGTTGTATTAGTAATTGTACTAGATCAAGATTACCTGAGAAACATGCAAATGTGATACAAGTTTGGTCACGTGTATCCTT